GATGGCCGCCCCTCCCCCCACTCCGTTGTCCGTTCTAAAAGCAAAATGAACGGCGTTTCTCCCGCCCCCTCCCCCCCTGTACAGTAGGGATCCTCGCGCCCGGCGGCCAGGCCACCCTCGCTTCTCCTCCCGCCGGTAAAGGCTGTAAATTAATCCTCTCTGATCCCTTCCTCTTCCCCCCCCACCGCGGCTCGCTCCCATTGATCCCTCGCCCTGCGTCTGGCCTTCTCAAACCCTCCCACTGGCCAGGCTACCGGGCCCCAGAGTGACCACTAGGTTGGATTCTCCCAGGTAACGAACGCTACGCACGTTTGTTGTATTTGGATCGATATTTATTTTAAGTCGCCTTAGTGACATTAACAATGAGCGATCAGTATCTTGGGAACGTTTTTCTTTTTCTTTTTCTTTTTTTCTTTTCTTGAGACACTTGTATTCAGAGATGGACAAAAACTGGGGGGATACATTATTCATCTAGGCGTTTCCTCGTAATTTCTAAATACGTTATGATCTAGTAATATACATGGGATTTATTTTGACTGAATTTGTTTTTAACTTGTGGAGTTTCAGGGACTGTATATGAAAATGAACCTCCCTTTTTCCTTGAAGACACAATTTTAAAGGCTAGGATATTCCGAGTTTGTTTTCCAATTTGAGCAGTATGGTTGAAGACCGTTGAAGTAGCCAAATCACCTGCCTTTGTTTTGTTGACTAATTTATTCAACGATGTTATTGACAGTATCTCAGATTCTTTGCTAAAGTAGCCATCTATAATACAAAGATGAATAAAACATGAACAGCACACTTCCTGACACTCAAGCTTTCTTGAGTGTTAGTTTCAGTTCTTATTGCCTAGAAGAGTTTTTGAGCAGATTAAGAAGACCCATATGTTTTTGGGAAAAAAAATTTATTAGACAAAAATTTTGAAATTATAAGGAAAAATTTGTTAGGCAAAAATTTTGAAATTATAAGGGAGGGTTTATTAGCTAACTATGTAGGACAGTGTTAATCCAAATGGTTTTCATGTGTGATTAAAAAAAAATTAATGATATATTTCCTTTAAGGAATATCTTAATGAAACCCCAGACTTTTTTAGTTAATTGTTCATTAACTTATTTGTAGTTTATTGTAGGTTTTTATATTTATTGAAATGATTTGTATTCTCTCAGTCAGTTATAAATTAAACAGGTATTAGTTGAAGCCATGATACCTCCTAATAAACTCTGGTGCTAGTTATTTTTGAAGCAGAGATTTTAAAGTTTGAAGCATTGAAGACTGGAGTTTCTGATTTGTTGAACAGTAATAATAGACACCCTGAGGTACTATGTGCTGGTTTGGGTTATATGATCTATATTACCATTTAATTCTCCAAACAATCATTTAGATAGGCTCTTTATTTTTCTTTTTTAATTAAAAAAATATTAGAGAGAGAAAGGGAGGGGGAGGAAGGGAGGCAGGGAGACAGAGACACACACAAAGAAAGAGAAAGAAACATTGATGTGAGAGAAACATTTATTGGTTACCTCTGGTAGGATTGCTGAATAGGGATTAGTGTCTGCAACCTGGGTAGGTGCCCAGATCGGGATTTGAACCCTTGACCTTTTGGTGTACAGGCGGATACTCCAATATACTGAGCCACAGGGGCCAGGGTCTCCCTCTCTTCTCCCCCCAAACCCCCTCGTCCTCTCTTCCCCTCTTTCCTTCCCCCTCCCTCTCTTAAAACCAGCAAATATGTTAAAAAGGGACAAAAATGTTGTGACGTCAAACTTTTCTGTTGTGGGCAAGTACTTGTGATTGAACATTCTATCTCTCTAGTAAGATCTTTGGAGTCATAATCCAAACCTCTCATATACTTATTTGTAAGTGAAGGTAAATGCCACCACTTGTTTTGTTGTAGAGATGATGATTAGAAATACATTTCCTCATTGTGCAAGCAAAACTTTTGATATAGAAGCTGGAATCATCAAGCTGAATTGATGGTTATTCATCTCTCAATTTAGGTTTGTGATGCTTTCTTTTGTGATGCTTCAGGATTTCCCTAGTAAGTTTCATTGGGAATATATATTGTTTAATTTGCTTTTATTTTCTTTGAGGTACAAAATAAAAATCATACCTCACATTTCAGAAGTAGAAGTATGTATCATGTGCTCAACAGATTAAAACAATGTCAGTAATATACATAGTTCAATTCTTGTCAAATATTTTTTTCTAAAATTCTTACATGATTTAAAATATGCTTTAAACACACCTTAGAAACTTACTCTAGTAATATTCGTTTTACTCCTGCCAGCTGAACAATTCAGTACATACCCAAAAATCCAGAAGCAAGCAAAAAGACTTTGATACACTCAGAATGATAGAATGCTCATTCTTTGCTCAAAACTTATGGACACATGGAACAGTACATCTCATTTATCGATAGATAGGGTTTTACCAAATTATATGGTTTTTCTACTTGTATAAGATTAAATAATAAAGTGCAAAAAGGGAAGTGAGCTTTTTGGAGTATAAATATCTGAAAAGTTTAAGGTGCAGTGCTTTCTAATAATATTTTACTGTTAATAAAGCATTTTCAAATACATTTTCCCAACAGTCCTGTGAGTTAGATATAGACTATTAACATGTATTTTATAGTTAATGAAATTGAACTTGCAGTTTGTAAGTAGCAGATCTGGGATGGGAACTCATGAATTACTGCTCTTTGATTAAGACAAGTTTGTTTGTATTTTATGATTAAGGCAAGGAAGCCATTTCTGTGTAAGATTAATTTCTTAAAAATAAAAGCTTTGCCCCCCCTTCCTCCCCCCAAAAAAATTCTGCTTCAAGTTCTTCTAAACATAAATTTGCATTACTTTTTAAATCTGTGACATTTTAGAAAAGGGATTCACTTCAGCTTCTCTTTTGTTATGTAACAACTCTCTATCTTATGTGAAGATGTGGAGTTTTGACTTCATTTTTTTTGGAAGGTCCTTGAAAAAAGAATAAAGAATCAAGTGAGATCTTTTCGGCCTAATGGAATAATTCTAGGGTGACTCTTAAAATTGTTTTTCTTCTAAAAAAAAAAATTGATGAAACCTTGTTTGGAATATTCTGGTCTCTGAATTTTTCTCTGCAATGTTGGACTTGCCTCTTGCTGGTAATCCTGGCTGAAGTTTAATTAAAAACTACCCAGCAGCAGACATAATGGAGAAATGTACTTTAAGATGAATTTGTACATTTTCAAGAAGTGTAACTAAAAAACACTGATTTATAGTGCTGAGGGTATTGTACTGAAACTAGTTCATTGTGGGTTGCAGGTAAAGTTGAACCAAAGCACACATACCTAAAAAGATTACAGATTTTAATATTTTGGTAACGCATTGGAACTCGATTGACAAGGACAATGTTGGACAAGGTTGTTTCACTAAATTGTGATTTTTTTTTTTTTAATAACTTGGTACCTATAGTAGATGATGGGAAAGATTGGTTAGGATAGAAAGGCCTTAATTATTACGTGGCATTGTAAGTTAAGATATTTTTTCTTATTTTAGAGTCTCAATGAGATCAATTGCTATAAAGTACTTGTATTAACTTAATTTTGTAATAAATAGTATATTATAGTGGTCAAGAACAGGGGTTTGAACATATTGCTGTTTCTGAGTCCAGGCTTTTTGCTTAACTAGATGTGTTATCTTGGTCAAGTTACTTACCTTTCCTAAGCCTCAGTATCCTTAGTTATAAAATAAATCCAAATGTTCTACTTCAGAGTTGTGAGAATGAAATAAATGCTACCTTTCATGACAATTATTAACCACTATTGAGTACTATTATATAGTGGGTGCCTGAATCAAAAAAACAAACAATATATCTGTTATTTGAAATTCCCACTCTGATGTACAGTACAAATGGAAAAAAATATGTAGTATAGTGTTTTTGGAATGAATATTCAAATTTTCACTTGTAATGATTACATAAAAGTACTTAAAAATATACAGTTCTGCTGCATTTAAAAATTTATTTATTCTTTTAAAAATATTTCTTGATATTTTATTATTATTATTTTTTTTACAGAGAGGAAGGGAGAGGGAGAAAGAGAAATATTGATGAAAGAGAAACATCAATTAATCAGCTGCCTCCTGCACACCCCCTACTGGGGATGTGCCTGCAACCTAGGTACATGCCCTTGATCAGAATCGAACTTGGGACCTTTGAGTCCACAGGTGACACTGAGACAAACTGGTTAGGGCTGCATTTTTTTTTTTTTTAAATCCTTACCTAAGAATATTTTTCCATTGACTTTTTTTTTTTTTTTTTTTTTTTTTTTTTAAGAAGGAAGAGGGAGAGACAGAGAAACATCAATGAGAGAGAAACACCAGCATTGATTGGCTGCCTCCTGTGCCTCCTGCATGGACCCTGCCAGAGATCGAGCCTGGAACCCTGGCATGTACCCTGACTGGGAATTGTAACCAATGAATATTTTATTTTAATTTAATTTAATTTAATTTAATTTAATTTAATTTAATTTAATTTAATTTTTATTATTTTAGAGAGGAAGAGAGAGACAGAAACATCAGTGATGAGAGAGAATCATTGATTAGCTGCCTCCTGCACACCCCCTGCTGGGGATCGAGCTCACAACCCAGGCATGTGCCCTTGACTGGAATCAAGATGTGTATGCGTATGTGTATGTGTATGTGGAATATAGAATATAGATACATTCATTTGCAATGTAAAAGGTAGACTGAGATATAATTAATAGCTATCAAAAGTTGTGTAGAAATACTAGTTGTTGCATAAGGAACACAAATTAAAGACAATGCTATAAAAACTTAAGTTCAAGATTAAACAGTATAATTGATATAATCCTTTCTAATAAAGAGGGATTATGCTAATTGACTGCCATGCCCTCAAAGATGGTGGTGCCCACAGTCAATAAGGAGGGAATATGCCAATTGATTGCCCTGCCCACAAAGATGGTGGTGCCCACAGGCAATAAGTAGGGAGTATGCTAATTGACTGCCATGCCCTCAAAGATAGCAGGGCCCACAGTCCCCCAATCCCCTCAGCCTGACAGCCTGTATTGTGTGCCCCCGTACCTCAGTTTTTCAGCTTTTGTGCACTGAATGCTCCCCTCTTTTTGCATCTGGTTTTGGAACTTCCACTCAGCCAGCCCTCCTGTGGCTCTGGGTGATAGATGTTTTGTCTTTTAGTTGTAGTTTTGAAATTGTTGTGCACGGCAGCAGTTTAGGTGTGTTTACCTATGCCGCCATCTTGTGTTCCCTCTACTTGCTTTTTTTTAAAATCCAGAATTAAAATTATAGACATGTTAGGCAAAATTATACTCAAAAGTTCTTTTATATTAAAAAGTACATAATTGCTTTTAATTGGTATTTATTTTTATGTTATCTCTTATTTAGTTTTTTGAGTGTATATAATGCTTTTCTTCCCATTTCTTTCTTTTCTTTTTCTTTTTTTCTTTTTTGTGCAGGTCTTCACAGATGGAATCACAAATAAACTTATTGGCTGTTACGTGGGTAATGCAATGGAGGATGTAGTTTTGGTGCGAATTTATGGCAATAAGACTGAGTTGTTAGTTGATCGAGATGAAGAAGTGAAGAGTTTCCGAGTGTTACAGGCTCATGGCTGTGCACCACAACTCTACTGTACCTTCAATAATGGACTATGCTATGAATTTATACAGGGAGAAGCATTGGATCCAAAGCATGTCTGCAACCCTGCCATTTTCAGGTACATTTCTTTTTCTAAAAGTTTTCCTTTTGAAAAACAGGAGTATTAAATGCATTAAGAAAATATATGTTAAAACTGCCTTTTCTTTGAGCAATTATTTGTTTAACTTAGAAACTTTCTTTAGGATTTTCTTTTGATAAAGAAAAGACATTATTTGTCTGCTCTGCTAATTACTTACTCTTTGCAAAAGAAAGAACTACAAGAGATTTTGGATTAGACTGTAATTGAGGTATGTGCCCCCCACTGGAATTGGACCCATAACCTTTTAACCCAGGGGCCACCATTCCATCCAACAAACCAAACCAGCTAGGGCCCCTTAATTTATTAAAGCAGTGCTTAACTCAAACATTTCTTACTACCAATTTGGGATTAGTTAGACTTCATATTTTATTGTTTATTTATTTATTTTTTTAAAATTATTCATTGATTTTAAAGAGAGAGAGAGGGGAAGAGAAAAGGAGAAAGAGAAACATCAATTTTATTGTTCCCTTTATTTATGCATTCAATGGCTGATTCTTGTATGTGCCCTGACCAGGGATCTAACCCACAATATTCAGAAATGGGATAATGCTCGAAACTAGCAGTTACTAACCGGTAGTCAGTCCATGGGCCACTGGTGGTCTGTGATGTCCAAAAAGTTGACGACCACTGCTCTCAACAACTGAGCTATCTGCCTGGGCCTAGATGTCACATTTTAAGCCATCGTTTTTAGGTTATCTTACTATGCAGCCAACAATCTGGACTGATTAATCACAGCTTCAGTAAATGTTGATTTAATCTTAGATCAAAGTCCACAGTGCTCTGTTTATTTTGACTCATTCAGACATATCTACTTGCCTATATTATGGTTATATCAAAGAATATCTACTTTGAATATAAAAGGCGTTGGAATATATGTTTATATTTGATCTAGTTTAAGGGAGGGAAATGAATTTAAACAGTCCCTGCTCTTCTAATAATTTAGAATCTGTGACAGTAATCTTGGGGAAAAAAGTGAAATGGTGTAACCGGCATAAAGGAAAGGTTTTCAAAAGAGTACAGATAGTTTACTGTGGTATACTTGGGAAATTAGGCAGTGTTTCACTGAAATTACATTTAAACTGGGCTCTAAAAGATGAAGCAGAACCTGGAGGAGGCTGAGGGAATAGGATGATAGGTAAAGATGACTTGTACCAACTTAATGTTTAGTAATTCAACTGTGGAAAGTTATCACAATCTGTTTTATTTGAACCCTTCTGTAACAATCATACATTGCAAAGGCCTTTAAAAATTTAAACATTTAATTGTGTTTAGGAATTTTCTCTTATCAGGTGTTTCTCTAAAACTTGCCTCTTGCTGGTAATCCTGGCTGAAGTTTAATTAAAAACTACCCAGCAGCAGACATAATGGAGAAATGTACTTTAAGATGAATTTGTACATTTTCAAGAAGTGTAACTAAAAAACACTGATTTATAGTGCTGAGGGTATTTTACTGAATCTAGTTTATTGTGGGTTGCAAGTAAAGTTGAACCAAAGCACACATACCTAAAAAGATTACAGATTTTAATATTTTGGTAACGCATTGGAACTCGATTGAGGATAAATTGAGAATTCAAACTGACTTAAGAAGGAATTTAATGATACATATAACTGAGAATGAGTTTAAGCATGGATGGATTCATGGGCTCTAGAACGGTATCATAGAAATATCACTTTCTTTTTGAAAAAATTTTGTGTTTTTTGTTTGTTTTGTTTTTTTAATCCTTAACTGAGGATATTTTTTCCCCATTGATTTTTATTTATTTTTAATATATTTTATTGATTTTTTACAGAGAGGAAGAGAGAGAGATAGAGAGCCAGAAACGTCGATGAAAGAGAAACCTCGACCAGCCGCCTCCTGCACATCCCCCACCGAGGATGTGCCCGCAGACAACGTACATGCCCTTGACCGGAATTGAACCCAGGACCTTTCAGTCCGCAGACCGACGCTCTACCACTGAGCCAAACCGGTTTCGGCTCCCCATTGATTTTTAGAAAGAGTAGAAGGGAATTGAGGAAAGAGAGAGAGACAAGGAGACAGAGCTATGAATCTGTTGACTCTCGTATGTGCTTGGACCCACTGGGCTGGGAATCAAACCTTCAACCCAGCTACATGTCCTGGATCCCACAACTCTTCCGTGTGCTGACTGATGCTGCATCCACTGAGGCACATGTTTTTTTTCTGGCGGACTTTATAAAGAAGTTTTATTTTCTAGCATATTTCCTTAAGAGTGACAATTACAGTGATCAGCAATTGCAGGCTTACCTGTTTAGTAGTATTGCCACCCCAGGTTGTGGAGTAAGGAATTCCTCTTTTTATAAAGACTTCAACCAAAGTCAAAGCTTCAACAAAAATTCTGGGATCAAGTCCTTTTGGCCTAGCTTGGGTAATATGCCCTGAACCAATTATTGTGGCCTAAAGGATGGAATGCCGTGGGCAAATGTGTGTCATATCTTCACTCAAGTTACTGTTGCAGACAGGACAGGGAGTCAGGATTGAGATAAACTGTATGAATCACATGAACTAAAAATGAAGAGGGTGGACGTTTTTCCATAGGAAAAAATCAGAACTGGGTAGATAAAAATATTCACTATAGTAATAAAACCATCATAAAATTATGTTATGTAATTACAGATTGGTGAAGAATTACTACAATGTTAGATTTCTGTGTGCCTTAGTTTGAGTGGTTCTCAACCATTTTTGCACATTGAAGTCATCTGGGAAGCTTTTAAATGTCCCGATGCCCAGACAAATCATAATTTCTGGGGGGTAGTAACCAAGGCTCTGTATTTTTTTTCTTTGAAGTTTCAAAGTTTGATTTCAGTACACAGCCAAGCTGTAGAGCATTATATTAGTGCCCTTCAGACTTTACAGTGGTTTAAGATTATTTGGAGATCTTGTTTAAAATGAAGTGTTTTGGGGTCCCCCACTTTCAGAGATTGTGATTGAGTAGATCTCAGATATTTGTACATGGTGCTATGTTGTAGGTTGTAGAACTGATTTGAGGAATATTAGATGATTAGCATTTTGAATTAGTCAGTTTTAAGTTCTTTAATTTTTGAATTATTAAGTCATTTTTTCGCCTGCTAGTCTGTAGGCTGTTCAGTAACTATAATAATTCAAATGTATGTATCTCTGATTAATTTCTAATATGTGTCTTGCTGTAATTTATAATTGTGTATTGTTCTGCTGGTTCCAAACATTGTATAATCATAATAGGCCATCTATTTTCAGATACTCAACCTCTTTTGGACACAATATTTAATTGTCATATTAATTGTAATTTTCTTCCTTCTGATGCTTTAAGCATTTGTTTTCCTCTCCTTGTGGGAGTTGACTTGCCAAATTATTTTTTGAATCTTACACATTTATGGTAAAAAATAAATTATGTTATAAAAAATGTTCACTAGTTGTTTTAGTTTACCTGTGTCTAGAGCTGAAGTACGATGATTAACATTTTCTTTCTGTGCTCTTGTTTTTTAACAGGCTAATTGCACGTCAGCTTGCTAAAATTCATGCTATTCATGCACACAATGGCTGGATTCCCAAATCTAATTTATGGCTGAAGATGAGGAAATACTTCTCTCTCATTCCCACAGGATTTGCAGATGAAGATCTTAATAAAAGGTAAAATTACTAAAATTACTTTTACATTTGAAATGATGTTTAACATTGCTTTGTTCAACATAATAGTTTTCAAAGATAAGGTTTCTGTATATAAAATCTTGTTTGGTTTATCTCTGCATTGAAATAAAATAGGCATTGATTCATTTGACTTTCAGATGGTACTATAGAATAAAAGCCTCTCTCTTCCCCCAGATGACTTAAAACAAAAGCAAAAACAAAACAAAACAAAACAAAATTTTACAAAAGCAAAGGGGTAGGGAAGTGGGCAGAGATAAGGGAACAAAAAATAAATATAGATCTTTTATTTGCAAGTAACTGAGATATAAAGGTCATTGTGAATAGTATGTTTTTGCATAGTATGAGTTGGTCATTGAGACTTTAAAAATTTTTTTGTTCAAAGATGTTTTGAATAGGGCTAGAGATTACATTGGGGCAGTGAGGTAATACTGGAATGTGAAAAAGCTTGAGTTATCTTAGTTTACTATGGCTATTAAAGTCTCGCATAATAAAGTTGAAAATTCATTTACTACAGTATTCTTAGACTTTGTAGGGCCAAACTAAGTATAGTATTTCATTATCCTAATAAAAAAAAAAGCCCAGGGTTGTAATGACTTATCACAACCAAAGGCTGACCAACTGGAAGTCAGTCCTACAGTCAGCACTGTGTTGCCCTGGCATCCTTCATAGCTGCTGCCACAGTTTCTATGCCGTGGTATAAAACACAGTGTGCAGGTGACCAGAAATTCAGGCATCACTTTTATGCCACCCCACATTTCCATCAATCCCACTGGGCCTGAGGTGCCCTCCCCATTTCTCTCCAGGTCTTTACTGGGGCTGCTGATCAGCTCTGCCTTTCTGATCAGGCCCCATGGATAGGTCTAGAGATGCTGACTGGCATAGAAACTGACCAATGAGAACCAAATCTGGGTGAATGTAAGGAGCCAATGGCTGCCTCGGAGGCAGAGTTTTTGACATTGACTGGCATAGAAACTGATCAATCAGAACCAAATTGGCCCGTAGAGGAGGGTGATCAGGCTGGCAGGGGAGAACAGTTAGGGTCGAGATCAGGCTGGCAGGGGAGGGCTCTTGGGGGTGATCAGGCAGGCAGTGAGGTGAGTGGTTAGGAGACAGCGGTCCCAAATTTTGAGAGGGTCTAAACTGGCCATTTTGTCACACTACTTCTCAACCTACCTGGTCTGACTACTATGAACCAGTTTCTATAATGAATAATATGAAAACTCCATGGTGTGATTTTCACATGGTAATATAATGATCATATGATATCATGTAATAATATAAGTCCATTTATCTATGGTGGATAATATATATTAAGTTTGAAATGTGAATTTAATGGATTTATACTGTAATTACCCTTCCAAACTTGAAGTAAATGTTTAGATCTTTAATGGACTGTCTTTGTAACTTTAATATACTTAAACCTTTTTTTATTAAACTCTTTGTGCCTTGATTTTCCCTCTATAAAATGAAGTAAGTATAAAACATTTAGCTAACACTAAGCAGTGTTAGCTATTAGCATATATTTTTTTCCTTCAATTTTGTAGTGATATATTTTTTACTTTTCTGCCCTACCATTTAACTCTTGCTCAGTTTCTTTTCATGTTTAATTTCATTGTAAAGATTTTTCTTTATTCCAGCTTTTGGAATAATTGGCTTGTTTTAATTCAGAAGTCTGTGCTATTGAATGGAAAGAATTTATTAAATTATTAATCCTTAATCCAACTTGAAAAAATGTCATTAAACTAAGCAAGATACAACTTTTTTAAAATTAAAAGGTTCCTAAGTGATATTCCAAGCTCTCAGATTCTTCAGGAAGAGATGAATTGGATGAAGAGGATTCTTTCCAACCTGGGCTCACCTGTTGTGCTTTGCCATAATGATCTACTGTGTAAGAATATAATCTACAATGAGAAACAAGGTAGGTATTTGACTTTAGCAGTAAGTACAGATTAATTTTTGATGTTCTTTGTGGTCTTTTGATTTTTGTCTCAAATTTAATTAAATGCAAGGATTGAAAACTTTGCATTTTTTTTTTTTAGGTTATAAAGTCATGGTAACTGCTAATTAGAAATATATATTTTCTATTTATTTGTATAAACTGTTTCCTAGAATTTATTTAATAAAAACAGATTGGTTCCTGTTAAGTGAGTTTTAAATGAAACATAATAAAAATGCCTTGTTTATAAAATTTAACTATAAAACATGTTTGATAACTCATTGTTTGAAAATACACCTGCTTATATTGGCGTTTTTTGAAAAAAAAAAACCAACTGATACTATACTGCTTTATAAATATAGAAATTTTCTCAGAATTATGAAGGACAAGAGTATTAAAACATGTTTCCAGGTTTTCTGTTACCTATTTATTATGCTGATTTGTTAGGTAGTTTGATGCTAAGGAGAGGGCCACAGATGGAGGAAATATTTGTACCTACTAAAGTAATAATCAAGAAGATCTGGCAAATAATTTTAATATATTTTTGAGATAGACAGTGATACTTTCTGGTGAAATGTTTTCTTTGATCATATCTATATTCAAATTCTCTTTTATATTTAAGAAACACTTGGTTGTATTATTATTGGATAGAGTGGTTTGAGGTTTGGTTGCTAAACAGATGAAATTTAAAAATACAATTTTGATTGAAAGATTAGAATGGAAAAAGTCTGTTTGAAACTATGAAGCTATTGAATTTTATAGAAAATCAGTTTTGAAGATAATCATTATAGTTGGAAGATTGTTTTGAATCAAAAGTGTGTTGTTGTAAAGATACTAAAGCCCAGGAATTCTGATTAAATAGTCATAGTTATATTACATTAATATTTGTGACCATTATTAGTGGATTATAAGTTGAGACTAATAAGAGGAGGTGGATATTTGTAACTTGCTTTACTTGAGAAAACCAAGTAAAGAACACTGTCAAGAGTGGTAGCCTGAAGCATGTATTTTCAAAAACATTTAACTTTTATATTTGCTATTTATTGCAGTTTAGAGATTTTCTTATTTAAGAATATACTAAGCTGACATCTTTATTTTGGATGTCTGGAAGTTTTTGTGTAGAATTCTATTTTTAAAACTTTAGGAGTACCTAAAACATTAAGTACTTGACAGTGTCCTTTAGTTTATTATTGTCCACTTATTATATATCATTGCCATAGAATATATATACTACATTATATAATAAGTAACCAAATCTCAATGCCATTTGTGAGACAGGTATTAGTTGTGCATTAAAGGGAATGTATTAGCTTTTTAGTTCAGTGTAAGACTGAATAACACATTATTTTATGTAATGAAATTTCAAGTGAGGGACTTCATCTTGCGCTTCAAGTGGACACTCAGCTTTATTTTTAACTGCAAGTTAATCAAAGAGTCTATTTCCTTTGGAATATAATTTTAACTTTCATACTTTTATGTTTCTTTTGCATATTCATTTCATAGAACCAATTTATTTATAAGACTAAAACAGAAGGGACCAAAAAAATCAGATTACTTTGTCTTAGTTTTTAAAGTACATTTTTATGTTTTAATTTTACCAGTTGCCTACCTAAACTACTGATCAGTGAGTGATATGAAAAGTTCTCATATTTTGAAATAAATATTTATGCTTCAGTTTGGCTTTAGGAATTCAAAATTGTCATTTGTTTATATTTACTAAGAATTACCTAAATCATACTTTTATGTCTAATTTTTTTGTAGACAGAATAAAGTTAAACAAATATTATTTTGATATATATTTTATAGTTTGTCCTTCAGAAGTCTATTATATACCATTTGTTTCTTGTCTTTGAGTTTGTTTGTGTGTTAGTTATGGAGAAATTTTGTTGTTTTTCCTTACCAATGGTTTTATAGTGTTTGTTAGAAAGGCTAGTGTGAATTCCATGACATCCACTTAAAAAAATAAATTTTTATTTGATTAATTGATAAGCATTAAGAAAATGCGGTTGGAATTTTGTCCAGGTAAAATCTAAAACTCATGAAAGAATGTCTGGCCTTTTTTGTTTATTATCTCATTTTGTTTCAAAATAGGAGCTAATTTTTTTAAAGTAACATTATTGTATGACTTATTTGTCATTATAAGGGTAAGATACCATGCCTCTGACTTCAAAAAAATGTAAATTCTATAAATTTAGTAAATTTAATAGCCAAAAATAGACTTTAGCTTAGCATTAGTATTTACTTATAGCTGCAATCAAAAGGAGGATAATTAAAGTGAGAAATATGTATCTCAAAGTTCTTGACCTTAACTAATCACCTTGTACAGCATCTAAAAGCCAAGTGTTGAATCTTTTGGGGTTAAAATAATTTTTACATAGAATAAATTATTAACCTGCATATTATATTCAAAATGAGTTTGATTTATCATTATTTGTAATTTGAGCTCAGGACCTCACCATTTTATACTCACCTACGAGATATAAATATAAAAATAATAAGATGAAAGCCAAGGGACTGGCCTTGACATCATCAAGCTTAGTATTATATCTCTGTTGTATGTTTTAGATCCTCAATATTGCAGAAGTGTAAATTTTAGTTAAACTTTATGAATTTAAACTGGATCATCGATGCTTCCACATGTATTTTCCAACCATAATAACTTAGATTTTGTATAATGTAAAAATCTTTTAAGTTAACACTTAAAAGCAGATATATTACAGCTTAGTTATAACAGGAGAAGTTAGAACATAGACTTTTGGAACTTAGCATACCTTGGTTCACATTTGTTCTCAATCACAAATGGAAGCAAGTGGTATTAGATAAATCAGGGGTGGAGAACCTTTTTTCTGCAAAGGGCCATATGGATATTGAGAGCATCATTTGCGGGCCATACAAAATTATCACCTTAAAAATTAGCCAGCTATATTTAGTCAAACATTTAACTCACTCCTAATGCATTGACTGGGCCAGACCCGGCCCCTGGGCTAGACGATCCCGATCTCTGAAAGAAGTCATTTTATCTCTTATTCAGTGTTTATATTCAGTTCCGTCCCAGAATCATTTAGGTTACTGGGGGAGGGGGGGGGGGGACGGGACGGACCCAAGATCAAATAAAGAAAAATTTTTATAGATGAGCTTAGTAATCTGTATGCTTAACAGATTTCCAGGCAGTACTTATATTGTTGATAGTCTAGAACTTTAGTTTGCTTCATTTTCAACTTAGATGATAATCAACTTCAGATGATTTCTGATAATGCTTATCAAGTATATAGCACTGGACTAGGTACTCGGCAGCTCTCAGTTACAGCTATTTATACCACAAGAGGGGTTGGCAAACTTTCTCTAAGGGGCCAGATCCAGCATGTCAAACTCACGGCCTATGGTCTGCATGTGCCCACAATGAATATTTTTATGGCCCAGCCAATATAACAGTAAGTAAGAAGCATTTTAATAAAAATTTCATAACTTTTTTATACATAATTATTCATAATGAACTATAATTTCTGCTCATGACTGATTACTGTAATAGTGTTGCATTCATTTTTCTTACATGTCTTAAGCAGAGGTGTGCCATTTCTCTCCACTTATACTAGCAGTGAATATTTTAGCAGTTGATTGCCACATCATTAGTCTTGTACTGATTTGTTTGGTGTGTGAAATAGGAAATATTTTGCTTTTGGAGAAGAAGAAAAATAGGTATATTTGCGTTACGTGTATTAATTTGTGCAGTTATTCAGTGTCTGGTAAGTTAATGTTTAAGAAAACATTAATTTCTATTAAAATGTTCTATTGTTTTATGCTAATGATTACTCATTTATTTGAGTCCTTTGTATTCAGCAGGTGCCTTATCTAAATAAACCTACGTTTCTATGAAAATTGAAGCTTTTGTTTTTATGTGGCCCACATAAATTTAAACTTTGTTTATTTGGCTCTTGTTAGCTTTTGAGTTTGACATGCTTGGGCTAGATAGTACTTATTTTAGACTTTGCATTCCATATTATAGTTTCTGTTGCAACAGTGCAACTCTGTTGTAGTGCAAACATAGCATTAGATAATACATAAATATGTCTGGTTGTATTCCAGCAAAATTTCATTTACAAAAACAGGCAGTGGGCTGACGGATTTGGCCTCAGCATACATGGTTTGCCAACCCCTATATTTTGTGTCTAGGATCCATTTTACAAAATGTATCTGACCGTGAAAAAGTTGAAATGGTTACTGTAAGTAGGAAGGTTAATTATGTATTATAACTAGAAGAATTTTGGCTCCTAGGTATGCGATGACAATGCAGTTTGTCTTTCCGTGCAACTTACAGATTCTGTGGTAACTGTACCTTGAGCGATTAAAGTTTAAGATTGTATATATGTATGTGTGTGTGTATGTATGTATATACTATATAAGTACATATTCACATAAAGACACACACGAAGACTATGAGCTCCCTGCAGTTTATAGGCATTTTCACCTGTGAATGTTAAAGGAATGGTAGGCATTACAGGAAGAAATACTGCCACTGCCTCTTTTCACCATGTCAGTTGACAGGACTCAGGAATATGAGAGAAGAGTGAGCTTCCTTTCTGAAGTTGATGGTAGCTGTCAAGATTTTTGAAAAGTTAGTCCCAGAATTTAGGTGGTTTTTAAAAACAGCAGCCCATTTCTCGCCTTCAGTGACATGACTTCTTAAAAAGGTAAGAAAAGACTACTTAATGATATGATGATAGGATTGTTACATAGTAAGAAAATCAAAAGCAGTGATTCTTGCTCCTGAACTGTAAGATAAGACTTACCAGTCCCTAGTCATCTTTTAAATTCATCAATAATTAATTTAAAAATAATTTATACTAAGTAGAATAAACAATAATAATGCTTATTGCCTCATTTTAAATCTAATATTTTAATTTCAAATAAACCTTTATTTAGTTGCTGACACGTTAGAAATAATTGCTAAAATTTTTTAGTTTGTTGTTTTGTCATACATAGTGTTAACTGGAGGTGGTTTCATTTTCTCCTCCCCATTTCTTCATAAAAGCTCATAAAGATCTAATATATAACTTTAAGTTTCCGGAATGGCAATTATTATTTTTTGCTATGTTTACAAAATATAAGAAGCTGAGTTTACAGCTATTTAAGGAAATACAAATGAATGGAAATAAAAGATTTTTTTCTGGGAATTACAGTGTAAACCAGGTTTTTTCTTTATTTTACATAGTAAAAATAGAAAATGGGTGAGTTACTATTCTTTCATCACTTGATTGGCTCTAAATTCTATCCATTCTGTTATTCATGAAAAAGCATTAATTGTGGTTGTTTTATTTACATTTTAATAACTTAGGAGAGGAGTAGTTTTTTGTTTGGTTTTATTTTAAAATTTAAATATAAATTTACTTTTGTATTTGGTAACGAATTTGTAGGGTGGAATTTTCATGAAGAACAGTTAAACTTTGTTTTAACTTGTATTTCAGATCATAATTGGCGTAAAATAAAATATCCCTAACTCAGGTAATAAAAAACTTAAATGGATTGTAAAAATAGCTACCTAAAATAGTAGTTTAATGTTTTCTGTACATACATTCAGTCCCATTGTATAGCAATCATATACTTGAATATGAATGTGAAAAATGACACCCTTTGTTCTTCCATGCTTATTCTCCCCACACTTCATTTAAATGTGTGTTGTCATTGTGTCTCCATCATTCTCTGAAATACCTTCATTTATTCCACTAGCATTTTAATACTTCCTGTGTGCTAGGTATTGCTCTGTGGATTGCATGATGAAAGATGAGAGGGACTTACTGCCCTTTAAGGAAGCCATATGCCCTGTGATGAAGGAGTCAGATTATACAACAAATATTTACATTCAGAATGATGAGTGCTATGATAAAGCTACTACTGGATATTAGAGGGATAGTTTCCCAGAGCAGAGTATTCATTTTTTCTGTGTAAGAGAGAAAGTATGTTTCTAACATTACTATAATCATACTACATACATATTATATGTATAAAACTACAGATAAAGTAGAGTAAGTTCGAAAGATTTTTAGGGTCTTACATTGGTTATTTTATTTTTTACCTTTCCTCCTTAATAACAACAAAATTTTTAAAAGAGTCCAAATGAATGTCATGTGAATTATAGTCTTAGATAATATATTTTTGGTTTTAAAGTACTTTAAAATTGGGCTATTTTCAGCTATCTTGAAATTTGAACAATTTGTTTAAGTAGTGTGTGGATTTTATTACTATGAAGATATATAAGAAAAATAGTAATGAAAAATGTAGCTTTTAAAAATTCAGAGTATATTTTATTTAATAATCTTATGCTTTACTTATTATGTGCTAGTCAGTGTGGTAATTAATAAAGATAATATGTAGTCTTAGCCTTTAAAGCATACTTTTTTACTTTTCAGAGGTCAAGGATGCCTTGAGAATTTGGAGACTTGAGAATCCCTTCAGAAAATGCATATACATATAAAATGTTATATAAAAAATTAAGGAGTATTCTTATTTTTTTTATTCTCAAAATCCTATTAAAATTTGTTTTAAAGAATTAAGATAATCATGCTATATAAACTATTGATTGTTAATAGTGATGTCGACGTTCCTCTAAATAATTGGAAATTTTAGAAGTCAGAAGTTAAGTTTGTAGAAGAAAAAAGGCTTAGTATATTTTCTGTTAGAAAACATTTTGTAGTAATTTGATTTTTCTGGCACCCAAAGTAAGGGAAGTAGGCATCTTTAATTTTACTTTGTTGCAGAAGATTAAATTTAAGGTTGAGTTCCACTTTGTTTGCAATAGTTTGAAAAAGAATAGTTAATGCGGATTTAAATTTTTTTTCCTTTTAAGCTTTGTGTCTTGTAAAATGTGAGTTTGCCAAATTTTCTTCATCTGCTACAGATTAGGTATGCCATTGTTGCTGCCATGTGGCGGCGCACCCCGTGCTTCTTAAACGCACTGACTGGAGGTTTATCGCATCACTTGTTCACATGCACGGAGCCTGGTAACAGCCTCATCTGTATCTTCTTAGCTTCATTTTCTTATTTTTAAAATTTCATTATTTATAAACTCGACATAGCATATAAAAATAAAGGATAGTTTTAATGAATTAATGCTACTCAAAAAGTCATTTCTAAAACATTCATACTGAAACAGATTTTAACTGTTGTTAAAATGATCTATGCTTTATTTAAATTGTATTTATAAGCAGGCATGTTTTACCTGCCATTTTAACTTATTTGCCAAATTCTAAATATAGTTTTGAAAATTGAAATAGAAACTTGTTTATGTGGCAAGTAAGCTTCAGGACTGGCTGTGTATTTTTATTGGCATGTAACAGTTAATATGAGCTTTACAAGAATTTTGTTTAAAGAGCTAAAACAATCAACAGCTACAGTGAAAACATTTTTGTATTAAAACTTTCATTAGATCAGTTGTGCCACTTGGTAAATCTTGAATACTGATTACTTGTAGACCAAGTGGATAGGCATCTCCTAAATCATTGTGTTTTAGTCTCTTAACTAGCTATAGTTTTGTAGAGAATTCATCTTAATTTTTTTATCTCCTCCCCCTCCCTCCCCACCCCTTTAAAGTATGTTTATTGTAAAGGACTTAAAGTATAAAGGAAAAAGAGTCATTTGTCATTGGTAATGAAACCAGTTGAAATATTTTATTTTGGTTTTATTTCTATTCATTCCCCCTCTCCCCTATGTATTATTTGTTCCTTTTTTCCACTTTTGGCATAATATTTTAATAAATTGGATTACTGCATTTATTATTTTGTATCTTTTTCATATAACATTTCTAATTCTCCTGGTCATTAAATCATCTTTGAAAAATGAAAGAAACTTTTTCATGGCTGCAAAATGTTTTAGCATGATAGTGATCTTCATTCTCATTCCCAATGGTAACCAGAAAAAAATTTAAAGTGATTGGTTGAAACACACTCTGTCTTCTCATTCTACACTTTAGTAGAGTGATTTGGTTAACTTTAAGACTTCATGGGATTATTTTTTATGTGAATTCAATATAATATTTATGGTGTTTGAATTGCAGTGATTTATTGTTGTTACCAACATTTTAAAATCTTTTTTAGTCAATATGTATCTAGATTTTGATAACTGAACTTTGATACTTAGATTCTCACTTTACTTTAGACTTGACTACTATTTATACAAGTTTAGAATGATGTATTAAATACAGTTACATTAAAATTTTACTTTTATGTAAAATACTTTATTTGCTGTGACATTTTTTGTCATAAATTCTGTTTTTCTGAGTTTGAATATGATCAACATATATCCCAAATTAAACATATATATCTATATCAAGACATTATAGTTCAAAAGTTTTTTTTTTGGGAGGGAGGAAATGCCAGAGTGCATAAGACCAGGAGTATGTTACCTTAGTATGATCTGTCTTTAAAAGACAGGGTAACCAGGCAAATGCTATTTATTTTCACAATTGCAACTTACAAACTCTTCTTACAGTGTCTCTGTTTTTGTATCCATTTTAACTGTTGGCCCTTGTAAGCCTTTGAGTTTGTGATATCTGGTGTAGACACTGTGACCCATTTAGATTGATATTCTTGCTCTTCTCTCAAACTTGCGCGCGCGTCCTCCCTCCCTCCCTCCCTCCCCCCCCCCTCGCTCTCTCTCTCTCTCTCTCTCTCTCATTTTCTCTTGTCTCTTAAAAAAAAACCCAAAACATGTATCTCTGTTGAGCCCTAGATCTCCTATGGTAGTCAGTGTACCTTTGTTTTTTAAGAAAAGATAAAACAACCACTTTAATGCTGCTCAGGTATGTTATATGGCATTCTAAGACAATCTAAGAGCTTGATTGCAACTAAATTCTTTAATTAGGGATATTGTTAAGTTGATCAGCAAATGTTATAAGCATAACTGAGGATTCATAGAATTCAAGTCTTTGAAAGTTTATATTTGATTCCTATATAAGTTAGTTCACTGTTGAAGTATCAGATTTTTTTTAAATTGCTTAGATAATAACAATTTCCAAAGTTAGTTTTCATTTCTAATTAAATTTGAATTTTTAAGTAACTGATGCCCCCATGTGGTGAAAGACATTTTGCTTTTGTTTGAATTGGGAGAATGACTATATACAGTGTTTTGACGTATCTTAATTATAGTGGATATTAATGTTCATAAATGTGCTGTTGACAAAGATACATAATTGAATTTTGTAAAGCTCATTGCCATAAATTCACAGCCTTACCCTGTATTGTCTCAGAAGTGCATGTAACCAAGCACGTACAATGAGACAAAATATTAAAAGCTATTTAATTACAAATAGCTTAGGGATTTTCTGATCTTATATGTGATTTCTTATGTCTTTGTTTTTGTGTCTCACATAGGTGATGTACAGTTCATTGATTATGAATATTCTGGATACAACTACCTGGCATATGATATTGGAAATCATTTCAATGAATTTGCAGGTAAAATCAAGGGCTTAACTAATGGAATAGCATAATGTAACTTTGATATGGCACTTTTAGAATTTTTTTTCTTTAAAATAGATAAACTGAGAAGAGGAGCAAAATTCTTTTTAACTTTTTTCGGTCCTTTGTTCTTTATTTTATTTTGTTTATTACTGGGGGATAGAGAATACTTCTTCATTCATGTCTTAAGGGAAATCTATAATAATAAAAGCACAATATGCTAATTAGACTGGACATCCTTCTGGATGTCCTTCTGGACAACCTTCTGGACGAAGCAGAGGCTGCGAGGGAAGCATGGGTCCGGGTGCCGGAGGGAAGCGTGCCGGCAGCCGGGGAAGGAAGGCCTATTCTTGCATGAATTTTGTGCATTGGGCCTCTAGTAAGAAATAATTATTGTGGCTTCTATTAGGGCATGACATGGTGCAAGGTACTTTTACAAGTCTTATTTTACCTTATCTTTTTTTCTCTACAACATTTTTTTAAGTTAGGTAATATTCCCAGTATACAGATTACGGAAATAACTCATCAAGGGCACAGTAAAATGCAGAGACTGTGATTTGAAACCAATTTTAAAAATCATTTAAAAGCCTTTGCTATTTCCATTGTGTACTAGGGCTTTTGAAATGTTTATTAATTAAAAAGCTTGAGGGCTTTTTTTTTTGTTTTTTTTTGTGTATGTGTGTTTGTGTGTGTGTGTCTTTGACTGAATAATTGAAAATTTGGTCATTTTACCCCTGGAAATGATTCCATTAGTACTGTCAAGTATGAAAGGTTTAGTTTTTCTAATGTAAATGGAATTAATTTAAAATATATTTTATGACTATACTTAGAAACATGAAATGCTCTAGAACTCAGGAATAAGAAATTCCCCTAGATGGCTTACACCTAGTAGGAATTTTTCATTGCTAAATTTGTATTTGTATACATCCATGCATTCATATATATATTTTATTTTATTATTTTTAAAAAGTATTTTTTATTGATTGAGAGATAGAGAGTTAGAAACATCGATGAGAGAGAATCATTGATCAACTGCTTCTTGCACACCCCCTACTTGGAATGTGCCTGCAACTAAGGTACATGCCCTTGACCGGAATCAAACCCGGGACCTTCCAGTCCGCAGGCCGACGCTCTATCCACTGAGCCAAACCGGTTCCAGCCATATATATATTTTAATATACTTGAGGTAATTGGCTGGGGAAAAAGTTTCAGTTTACATGTATTCAATAATTTTCCTACACTATGCTTATCATATGCATGTCATATCTCTACATATATACTTGACATATTTCTACATCACTGTAGGAAGGGAAAGCAGCTGTTTATATAATGAATAATCATTGTGTTAGTATTAAGGAAGCCACTGCCATGTTTATGAAAGAGGAAACTCCACTGATTTTAGTAAGATTTTGTGTAGAAAAGAAATTAAGCTAACAGTTGAAAGGTAGCATAGAAAAATGGTAACACTTGAGAGTTAGGTAGCATTTGCATGTGCAGATAGAATAGAAAGGAGGGTACCATAGGAAGAAGGGAGAAAACTTCCAAGATGAGTGTACTTATTATTATTTTTTTAAACATGTTTTATTGATTTTTTTTTTTTTTTTTTTTTTTTTTTTTTTTTACAGAGAGGAAGAGAGAGGGATAGTTAGAAACATCAATGAGAGAGAAACATCAGCTGCTTCCTGTAACTATAATATTTGTAAAACTTAATATCAGGTGTGTGTATGAGGTTTCAATATAAAGTGTCTTTCTTACCCTGTGAGTAACAGTCAAGAAAGATTTAGAGCCACAGTTCTAGGAAATACTGTAGATATTAATGTTCACAAGGATCTTCTGGGCTGCTTAGTGAAAAGATTTGGTGCTTCTGATGCATGTAGTTCAAGCTTCACACAGGAATAATTGAAGCAATGTGAAATGATTATGGTGGTCAACTGTATTGAGCATTCAAACTTAAGAATACATTATGATTGGTTTACTTTAATACATACTGATTAAATTAGTATTTCAGCCAGATGTTTTATTTTTTTTCTCTGAAAATTATGTAGATAGTAAGGTATATTAGTATATAAGATAATGTGTTTTTAAAAGTTTCATTGCACTTTTTTTTCCCACTGTAGGTGTGAGTGATGTAGATTATAGCCTCTACCCAAGTAGAGAACTACAAAACCAGTGGCTGCGTTCTTACCTTGAAGCCTACAAAGAATATAAAGGCTTTGGGACTGAAGTTACTGAAAAGGAGGTAGAAATACTCTTCATTCAAGTCAATCAGTTTGCTTTGGTAAGTTTAAATTTTAACAAAAGATTCTTCATATGATTTAACAACTGTTTAAATTTTCATCTTATAAAACAGTTTTCTGTTTTGAATTTTGTGAATTTTTGTTCAAAATAATGACAAAATGCGATTCTTCACAATTTTTCCATTATAGTATTTTTGAGGACAAAGATTTTGTTTTATTCACGACCATATTTCCAATCCCTAGAACAATAGTGCCTGGCTACTTGATAAGTGCCCAGTAATTATTTGTTTAATGGATTCCAATTAGAGTTAGGATTATTTGTGAATTAGTGTTTGTATATTCTACTAGAGGCCCCGGAACAAAATTCATGTGGGGTAGAGGGTCCCTCAGCCCGGCCTACACCTTCTCACAATCCAGGCCCCCTCGGGGGATGTCCGACTGCTGATTCGGACCCTCTCATGACCCCATCATGAGATTGAGTCTAAACCGGCAGTCGGATATCCCTCTCACAATCTGGGATCTCTGGTTCCTACCTGCTCGCCTGCCTCCCTGCCTGCCTGCCTGCCTGATTGCCCCTAACTGCCTCTGCCTCAGCCCCCTCTGCCGTGGCTTCGTCAGGAATTTTGTTCAGCTGTCTGGTCTAATTAGCATATTATGCTTTTATAATTATAGATGTCCTCTTTTTTCTTAGTTATGAAAACATATTCAAGAACAGATTTATGGGAAACGAGGTTTTCACAATGCATTCATCATTACATCTTAATGTTAACATGATAAAAGTTTATTGGTTTTATAACTTTAGTTAATCAGTTGTTTTAAGTAAAATATGGTTTTCCATTATACATGTGCAAGTTGAGCTCATAACTCCAACTCATTTAAATGCTTTTCTTGAGACAGTCTGTCTATTTTTTTGGGTATGTAGTAGATGTGCTTTATGTGTACTTTCTATGTAATTTCATAGAATGTTAGAGTAGCATGCAGTGCAGCTCACAAGCCACATGTGGCTCTTTGGCCCTTTGAGTGTGGCTCTTCCACAAAATACCATGGCCTAGGTGAGTCTGTTTTGAAGAAGTGGCATTAGAAGTTTAAGTTAAAAAAATTTGGCTCTCAAAAGAAATTTCAATTGTTGTACTGTTGATATTTGACTCTGTTGACTAATGAGTTTGCCGACCACTGCCATAGGGTATATGTACCACTCTATTATATTTATTTGAATTTTAGAGAGAGAGATGAAGGGAGAGAGAGAAATATCCATGTGATATCTTAACATTGATTGGCTGCCTCCTGGCAGGGATTGAGCCTGCAATCCCAGCATGTCCCCTGACTGGGAGTTGAACCTGTGTCCTTTTGGTGCATGGGACAAGGCCCAATCAACTGAGCCACACTGGCCAGGGCTTTATCACTCTTTATCCAGTCATCTTTCGAAGGACACTTTGGTTGTTTCCATGTCTTGGCCACCGTGTGTAATGCTGCAATGAACATACAGGCTTCTCTGGGATCTCTGGCTTTTTACATATATGCACCCCTATGTAAGGATATATGGGGTGCATATATCTTTGCCAATAAATGTTTTAAATATTTTCAGGTAGACATTCAGAAGAAGGGTTGCTGGGTCATATGGTAACTATATTTTCAAATTTTTGTGGAACCTTCTTAACTATTTTCCATGGTGGTTTTACCAGTTTACATTCCCACCAGCAGTGAATGAGGTTTCCTTTTTTCCACATCTCCAACACTTGGTTATTTCTTGTCTTGTTGATAATAGCCATTCTAACAGTGTGAGGCATTACCTCATTGTAGTTTTGATTTTCATTTCCCTAACAGCTAATGAAGTTGAGCATGTTTTCATAAATCTTTCGGCCACTTGTATGTCTTCCTTGGAGAAGTGTCTGTTCTAGTCCTCTGCCCATTTTTTAAATGGATCGTTTGTGTGGTATTGAGCTGTATGAATTCTTTATATATTTTGGATCTTAGCACCTTGTTGGAGTTGTTGTTTTCCAGATAAGATCTTCCATTTGGTTGGTTGCTTTTTTGTTTTGATGGCTATTTCTCTTGCTGTGTAGAAGCTTTTTAGTTTTACATAGTCCCATTTATTTATTTTTGCCTTTACCTCTCTTGTCTTTTGGGTCAAATTTATAAAATCTCGTCTAAGACCAAGATCATAAGTGTAACACCTATGTTTTCTTTTATGCATTTTGGGTCTTATATTTAGGTTTTTGATCCATTTTGAATTAATGTTCGCATATAGAATAAACTGTAGTTTCATTCTTTCCTGTGAGTAGCTTTCAAGTTTTCTTAGCACAATTTGTTGAAGAGGTCTTTTCCCTCCATTTTATTTTGTGGCTCCTTTAAACTACAAAGCATTATTTTTTATTATTTATTTATTTATTTATTAATATATTTTATTGATTTTTTACAGAGAGGAAAGGAGAGGGATAGAGAGTCAGAAACATTGATGAGAGAGAAACATCGACCGGCTGCCTCCTGCACAGCCCCCACCGGGGATATGCCCACAACCAACGCACATGCCCTTCACTGGAATCGAACCCGGGACCTTTTAGTCCACAGACCGACGCTCTACCACTGAGCCAAACTGGCGTCAGCTACAAAGCATTAAAAGAGGTTGAAAAACACACACAATTAAATGGAAAGATATTTTGTTTATGGATTGGAAGAATCAACAATATGTCCTAAAGCAATACACGGATTTAATGCAAGCCCTATCAAAATTCCAATGAAATTTTTTAAAGAAATAGAATAAAAAATCATCAGATATTTATGGAATTACAAAAGACCCCGAATAGCCAAAACATTCCTGAGAAAAAAGAAGGAAGCCTGAGGTATCACATTTCCTAACTTCAAATTTTACTTCAAAGCGATAATAATCAAAACAACATGGTATTGGCTGAAAAACAGACACAAGGACCTATGGAACAGAACTAAGAGTCCAGAAATAAACTTACATGTATTTGGGTAAATAATTTACAACAACTGATTTTTTAAGGGAGATCTTTTTAGGGTAAAAGTTTTTGAAATAATATTTCTAGTTAAAGTATTTCTTGGGAGTTTTATTGGTATTATCAGAATCTTCAAATACCATGTTTAACTGACAATGATCATAAATCATGCACACAATGATTTTACAGCTCCTAATTACACAGTTATTGGTTTTCTCCTAAGATCCATTTTTCTCTGACATAAATAACCTCTTATTTTATGTTGTGATTGGTATGCAGAATTGTTGGATCAATACAAATTGTTTCCAGATATTTGTTACTCCTAGAACATTCTTCACATTAATTTTTTCTTTTTTTGCTTTGAGATTTGGATTTTTTATTTTGTTTATATTTTTATGTCAAGTAACCAGGTTCTTTGATAATGTATTTTATATGAGAGGTTGTTATCAATTAATATCATTAAAAACACTTTGCCAAAAAAGAAAAAGAATAAAAGAAACTTGAATAAAAACACCACTTAACCAACACCTATCAGTGCTGATGCTGAACTCTGCCTATATAAAACAGATTATAGAAGTTGGGTTACAGTTTTTAAATGACTGTAGTTTATTATAGCCTCTTATGGTGTAGATATAAGTGATTTATAGCCATCTAGATGACTGTACACTTAATTATTACCTTATTTTAGATATTTTATATAAAAAAGCATCAATAACATTTTTTATGGAATTGAAAAAGAGAAAAATTAAAAATATGATATTTGCTTTACAAAGAAATGAATTGTCGCCTGGCCTGTATAACTCAATGGTTGAGCTTTAACTCATGCACCAAGAAGTCAGTGGTTTGATTCCAGGTCAGGACACATTCCCAGATTGCGGGCTTGAACCCTGGTAGCAGGAGGCAGCTGGTTGATGTTGATGTTTCTCTTTCATCAGTGTTTCTATCTCTCTTCCCTCTCCCTTCTTTCCCTTCCACTCTCTCCAAAAATATAAAATGAAATAAAAAAATCAAAAAGGGAAATGAACTATTGTAATTCTTGTTTTTTCTGACTTTCTTTTTAGGCTTCTCATTTCTTTTGGGGATTGTGGGCTTTGATTCAGGCCAAATACTCCACTATTGAGTTTGATTTCCTTGGGTAAGTTTAATTTTACTGTATGCATATTTATCTTTACTTTTGAATTAACATTGAGAACTCATAGGGGACATTGTAGTTATTCTTTTCAATCAAATGTTATAAAGTTTATATACATTTAATACATGGTTTGAGAGGAAATTGGTTTAATCTGTTAAATGTACTTAGTATTAGAAAGGTGTCCAGTAGATGGTGCAATAAACTAAAAACATATTCTTTCAAAAAATCGTAAAATTTAAAAAAAAAATTAGTTGCGAAGGGGTGAGTGGAAATAAAGGAGAGGATTAAGTTTTCAGCTCTAATTTTGTTATTCTCTTTTTCTCATTAGGTATGCAATTGTTCGTTTTAACCAGTACTTTAAAATGAAGCCTGAAGTGACTGCATTAAAAATGCCTGAGTAAAGATGTAATTATTCTCAAGTAGCTGAACAATGCTTGCGAATCTTTTCTTGAGAAATTCCGAAAAGCCAATTATTTGTTAAGATTCTGTTATTTAATTTGGTTATCTTGCTTTACAAATTATGCCTCTATCAACCAATTTGTTTTTTAAATAGATTGAATGATGTAAAAAAGATATATATACCTACTGCTGTCAGTATGCAGTACATTAGAAATTTGTTAAATCTACAAAATAGGTATAAAGATGTCAATTTAATCTTTTTGATAATTTAATCTGCTATATGTGAATTATTTATTATAAATGTAACATGGTTCTGTGACTGCTTTAATCTATCTCATCCGTTAAGTGTAAGCAATGAAAATGTTCCGGAAGAAACTTTTTTTTTTTTTTACTTTAAGATTAATTTTAGTTAAAAGTTCTAGATGTTCATTGTAACTTTTTTATTTTGATACACTGTAAGTAAAATGGATCATTTACTCTTGAAATGCCAGATATAGATTACTTAGGATGTTCTTGGAAAAATACCTGTCTAGGAGTGTGAGATACATTTCACTATCTATGGTAGTGGAACAACTTTTTGAACTGAGTATTGGAAACTGTTTCATTGGGGGGAATTTACCTTAGAATTTAATTCTCTTCCTACAGAGTCTGGCAGTATAAATATTTACTGTATAATCCTAGAATAGATATGAGATTTTGTGTCACCAAAATTTGTATTCAATAACGTTCTCATATACTAAATGTGGTCATTTAAATTACTAGTTTACTTTTAAGATTTTAGTGTATCAAGTTTTTTCTAACCAAATGTTTTGTTTTACATATGGAGATGTTCTATGTCTTTGTTAATAAGTAATAGTAGAACAATTGCTAATTAAAAAAAAAGATAGAACACTTGGGAACAAGAAAATGTCAGTTAGATTAATTCTGTTTTACCCCTGTAGATTCATTTTTTACATTTGGTTTCATGTTTTAGTTTGGCTTCATATCTTTGGAATGATAGCAAATGATTGCTTGATAGATACATGTAGGTTCAGAGAAGTTGAGGTGTTAAAATAATTAAATAAGGAACATTTAAGGTATTGATCTTGTACACTTAATCTAATATATCAAAATGTGAATAAGCAGAAATACTCCTTGTAGGAAGGATTCTGTTTTTATTACTCTTGATTGTGTTTGTGTATTTTTTACTTTATTTTGTTTTGAAGTGAGGATGATAATTATTTGGAAGGGAGTTAAATCTTTGGGATAAGTAAGCTTCATGTTTTGAAGACTGCCATGTGGAGTTGAGTAGTCATGGTTGTCTTTACTTAGAAAATTAGTCTGACAAGCTTTTCACTTTGGTCACATAAGTGCCCATGTACAAAGTTGGCTTAATGGATCTGCATATTCAGAATATGCAACTACACATTATCCTCTGAGAAATCTTCTGAGGAGTCTGATATATTATTCCAAATGACTTATATTCTCAGATAAGTGCTTTAAAATACTTGGATTATCTCAAGATGTTTAAAGGTAATCAAGTAGAAACACTTACAGGCCATTTTAAATGGTAAATTCTAGTTACATAAATAGAATATGAAAATCTGTTTATATCTATAACAGTGTTAGACCAATATTTGTTTTCTACCTCCCCAATGTTAAAAATGTTCACTTCTGTTTTTATGAACCACATTGTTGTAGAATCAATAGAATTTTACTTAATTGACTGAATGGAACCAATTAAACAATGAATACCTTTTTATATAATGTTAGAGTGTACTTGAAAAATTGTTTTTGGTGGGATTTTCATCTGTGGTTGGAATATTATTTTCAATGATGAAGAATATGTAATACTCTTGATTTTTTTGCTTTCTGACTTAAAGTGCAACATTATATATCTACATCAGAGGGAAGAAAGTCATTTTTCTACCTTATTTCATATTCTTCAAACTATTTTGAATAGAGATTCACTGAGTCATTGTTGATAGACTCTGCATACTAGTTGTGACACTATAAAAAACATTTCAAAAAGATCATATGGAAGTGAATGTAAAGGTTAATAAAGGCTCTCACTCTAGTCCTAGGAGTATCTAGTGGATCTTGGGAACATAATCAAATAGTTAAAATATTTCCCTCATTCTTTGGTTAGGATTTAGATGTGATGATCCCAGTTCTGTACAGTTTTTTTTTTTATCAATTAATTAAATTAATGCTGTGCAGGCTATTATTAGGGTTCAAAATTGCTTTCCTTTTTGTTGACCATTTAAAAGATTCTAAAGGAAAGACAGCTCTCTAAAATGTGTCCCGTGGCTTCTTGACATGTCTGTTGCCTTTTTATGTTAAGCTAAGGAACTTGAATGCCTTACCTAATAACTCGTAAGCTCATTTTGTAAATATGAAAATGATTGTTAGAGAAGTGGCATTCATGTACTACGCCGGAAAATACGGTATACTCATTGTTAGTCAATAGACCATAGTGGCCTGGATGCTTTAACAAGCAGAATTCCACAGTTATTTCCCTCTTTGTTCTTTACATACTTGTTTAGAGCTTACCTGACCAGTAATATTTGATTCCCCCACCTTCCAACAACCAACCCCCATGCTACCACTATTTTCTGGAAATCAAAGAGATGTGGTAGTAAATCACACTGTTCACATGATCATTTTAGATCAAAATGAGCACAAAACTCATCAACTAGGTCTGCCTGGAATGTATATAAAACAGTGTAAATAAAAATTTGTAAATTAGTGTGAATTGTATCTTGCATATGAGATTGTGTATTGTTTTTCATTATCTTCCCTTTTAAAGAAAATTTTCTGTAAGGAACTTATCCAGTTCTTTGGTTTTATACTGGAAACAGCCAGCAGTTAAGGCTGCACAGCAGGATAACAAGAGGAACTGGAGATAGGGTTTATCAGTTTTTGTTAATGTCATACTTATTTATGTAGCCTCTCAGTGCCTAATATGACTTCTTCATTTTTTAATTGTTTTTGTGAGGTTAGATTCCTGCAAGTGGTCAATTAATATACACAGATTTTCATTCCATGATTTCAAGCTAAAACAAATTAAAAATATAATTTAATGATTGCAAACTGAAGTATTATCTCTTCCTATTTTCAAGTTTAACTTTTTTCCTACAATAAAAATATGAAATTTTTGATATCTCAATGTGAATCTAAATCCCATGTGTACAAGAGATATGGTAAATAATAGCTGTTAGTTTAACCAAAGCATATCTCATGTGGCTTCTCTAGATATAAAGTTGTTTATTATGGGATTGTAAACAACAAAAAGATGTAATATTTTAATGTCTGCTATTTACTTTTTTGCTGGACTAAAAATATTTGAACTTCATAAATATGTTACTAAAACTTCCAGAGTAAAAGAAAAAAGTCTCCCCACACACTTTGTTACAAGTTAAAAATCTCCACTTTACTAATCATACAGATATTTCATTACACAAAGCTTTCTATATAATCTTTAATTGCTTTATAATATAAATTCGAATACTATCAGTTTGATTTTCTGCTTTAAATTACCTTTAATAAACATTAATAATGCATTCTAAAGTGATACAGATTTCAGTTGATAGACAAAGTTAATAGTGCTTTATGCAAGGAGGAGAGTTTTGTTATTGGCAGCAACTTGCACAACTTACACAAAAAAGCAAATCCTAGTAACTGTTAATGCACAGATGAAAATGGAATTATAAGTATGTGATTAAAGAAGTTTTATCTTTATTTGAAAGTTAATTTGCTCTGATTTTTCTTCAGTTCAGTAGATTTTAGAATGTCCTTTGACTGGAAACTTAGTTACATAAGGCAGTCTGTTTCTTCTTAAAGAAATTAGTTATATTGAACTGCCTTTTTATTTCTTCTTATATAACACCTTATAGCGTTACATTTTGGGTTTAATATCTTTGGACAGAAAAGCATATCAATTATTTTAAATGAACCTCCCCCTATCTTTGAAGCTTAGTCTCCAAAATGTGTTACTATAAAAGAAAATGCTTTGGATTGCATTACTTGAAATCTTGAAAACTGAAATTAATAAAATACATAATGAATTAGATTTTTCTGAACACAATTTTTATGCTAAAAATTCTATTTCAGGATCACAACTTGAAATAGAAAATTTCACTATTTCAATTAAAAACTAATGGTAGTGCTTTTACAGAAGATCCATTTGTGTTGGGCATCCAAAATTAAAGCTTTAAGTAGATTTCTGAGCTGAAATCTGCTTTCTCTTTTTACCTATGTTATATCAAACCGGTGTTATATCAAACCGGTAAAAATAAAATGTGTTCATTATAAATCCTATAGCTTTTCTAGTTACAAAAAAATTGTGTAAAATACTCAATATTTTTGTTTACTTCTTAATCCATTAAAGGTATAATTACCCATTAATCATTTTAACAAATATAAGATACTTATAAAAATTGAAAAGGCTACATAGTGTATTTAAACTAGTTAGGGATGAATAAGAAAAAGCTGGCTAATTTAAGTTGTTACATTAGTTAAATATTAAAACTCTAACAGGAACTTTCAAAGCTAGGTTGAGACTTGATGGTATCCATGTAAATTAGTTCATGTGACCTGGAAAAGACCCAAAAGCGGTGGAGAAAATGTGAATATTTGCTTGCTATGGTTGAGGTGTGCTGCTACTTCAGTTTTGGTAGTGACACACTGACATTTTTATTGTCCAATAATCTGAAGAAGTTTCCTTTTGTTTGTGCTAAAGTAACTATAAATTGGTGGGATTTGCGAAGAGAAAACTTAAACTGTATCTAGGAGCTGTTGTACAGCTGGATGAAGAAGTTTCCATGATGTGAAATATTTGAATTTTAAATATCATTAAAAAAAAGAAGATATGGCATCATTCCATGTTCATAAATGATAATTTCAGATGCAGGAGGAAAAACCCCAGCGAATAATTATATGCTAAATTGGGAAATTGGTAGAAAGCTTAAATTTATGTTTATCAAATGTGAACCATAGATAGTAGTATAATGCTGCTTTGTAT